AGCACCGAGCAGAGAGTACACTTTCAATACAAGTTTGTTGACTGGATGAATGATGAAGAAATGAATGAATGAATGGTCTCAGAGGCCTCAGGTGTTGCCTCAGGTCTGGGGGCCCCTCTGACCCAGCTAGGTACTGATACTCTGACCATTCACGATAGAAAAAAGCAGGGGAGAGAGGCAACACAGTCTATAAATTCATCCCTCACACATACTCACCACAGTTTCCTAATGATCACACTTCTGAATTGGGGGAAGTCATTGTCCATATAAGCTTTATTCATCTGAAAAAAAAAGAGGCAGGTGAGCTCATACAGGCCTGGAACAGGCAGCAGCCCCTGTTCCATATCTTGGGGGCACCCCCAGGACCTTTTCCCCTAGGGAACCCATGTATTAGCCATAGAAAAGAAGGAAGGGAAGGCACAAAGACATTCTTTCTGCCAGGATGTGGGTGGGGTATGACTCAAGAGAGGAAGCTCTCCAAAGACTGCTCTCAGGATGTGGGTAGACCAGGAGCTGAGAAATCCTGAACAGTAAGTCAGGATGAACTCCTGCATCTGCTCTCACATCAGACATCCACACTGGGAATCTGGCCTTCCCCTGCTCTTGAATAGTTGAGCGAAGTCCCAGTATGCCTGGAAGGATATGCTTTTCAGTTCCTCTGTGAAGTCACTTTCACTGTGACACTTAAAGTGGCATTGATTTTTTTTCTGGGATTTCTGTGGGAACAGGCCATCCTATGCATGAGTTTCAAAAGATGTTACCACAGTTTCTTTGGGAACAGGGCACAGTACTTATGAGATTTCTGTGGGAACAAACCACACTCATCTTTCAATAATGTCTTCTGAAATTGTTTATTCTCCACCTGTTGGTCTCATGGAGGCAAAGAAAAATGGGGAGAAGAGAAGACAGAAATTTAAGAAGCAAGTAGGAGTTGTTAAAACTTCTGCCCCTCGTCTCTGAATAATGGCCAGGATCACAACCCAGAGAGAACTAAGTGGAGGGTTCCAGAAAGGATTGAAATAGAAGCACCCTGATGAGAATGGCAGGTGAGCTAGTGAGAAGGGCCCTGAAGGGAGCAGCAGAAGGTCTGTGTTTGACTAGTGTTTGGCCCGGGTAAAAGTCACATTTTCTTCTCTTCCTACACAGTGAAACAGTGGTAGCAGATGATCCTTCCAGTGCTGTCCCCCAATTTTAAATAGTTAAGGAGCATGGAGACAACCTATAGGTCTCAGAAAAAGTCAATACCTAGGAAGAAGTCCAAAAGGTATAGGCACTGGTAACTAAATTGGCCTTAGGGACAGACATATTCTTTTCCATTCCAGGTAGTCCCATTCTAACATTGCTCTGTGGAGGGATAGAATGCAAATCAGTCACCATGGAGGTCCAAGGGACAAAAACACTAATTCCCGTTCCAAGTCCCATCATTCAGGCATTGCACTGAAAGAGGGGCATGGGGCCAGATGATCACACAGCAACCAAGATCCCTGAGTTGTCACCTCAATCCCCAGGAAATAGTGGGGAAAGGAGGAGGGACAACAGGAAGAAGGAAACAAGAGGTGAAAGGATGACCAAAGAAAACAAGGGCCCTACCAATCAAAAGAGAGTAATATCCAATTCTAGGGACAATGTGCACTGACAGCGAGAAGGTGTTGGGAGGGTGAAACAAGACCACATAAAAAAAGCTTAAGGTGATTAGCTGATAAGGAAATATGGACAGGAAAGGCCCACAGAATAAAATACAGGCAGACTTACTTGGTGTCATAGGTGGAGAGTAGGTCGTCATTACAGTTGTGAAGGTACCAGTAAACAGGGGATGGAGAGATGAAGTGGCATTGAGCCCAGGGAAGGAAGTATGAGTACAGCCAGGTGAAGTCTGAAGTGCAGAGAGATGAGAAAAACCAGAAGTCATAATAGCTGAAGAAGGGTCAGGAACTGGCCTGGAGGAGAAGCCTGGAATAGTTGAGGCTGAAGAAGAGGTATCAGCGACTTTGGTTCAAGAGCTGTTGGGCTGTTGTGTTTGGTGACCTGATTTGGAAGACTGTAGATCTTCCACTAAAGGTGGTGGTTGTCAGTTCAGAGATGGCTCTAGTTGTAGAGGAGGAAGTGAGAGCGGACAGGGATGCAGGACTAGCACTGTCTGTGGCAGACAGGGTAGAAGTAGAAATAGTTGACTTGACAGAATCATTGCTGGTGAAAAAGAGAGGGCAATACTCACCCAAGGTGGTGAACATCTGTCCAGAAGTGACTGGGGAAATAGAAGAATGGGTGGTCTTTATAAGAATAATGGACTAAGATCTGCTGTGGTATCAGAGGCATTGGATAAATCAGTTGTGTTGCAGAAATAAATAGTAGTGATAAAACCACTGAGTGTCTCAGTGAAGGCTGTGTGGTCATGGAAGGCAATAAGGCAGAACCTGATGGGGATGCAGGACCATCACTCAGAGTGGTAGAGGTAGTGTCAACAAAAACTTTAGAACTGTACAAATTAGAAATGGTGGTATAGACAGTTAGCTTTTCCATGAAAACTGTGGCTGTTTGGCTAGAGCTTGATTGGAAACAGGAGTTCCATTAACAGTGGTAGAGAAGGTGGCAGCTGAAAGTTGGGTGAGACAAATAAAAAATGGTTGTGTAGACAGCGGATGCTTCAAGAAGGGTTGAGGATGTCTGCCCAGAGACCACAGTGGTGAAAATTAAATCATCAGAATCAGATGGAGAAGAATGGTTTGCTTTTCCAGTAGTACAGAAGGCATATCACATGGAACTGTTGGATTAGATGAGTCTGAGAAGAGTGTAAAGACAGTAAATTCCATAGTAAAGGCTGTGTTGGTGTTTCCTGATACCTACCTGTAGTGGGAGATCCTTCAGATTTTGTAAAGGAGGTTTCAGAGGAAACAAATGATTTTGACAAATCATAAACAGTAGTGTAGATAGTTGACTCCTCTGTGAGAGTCATGTCTGTTTCTTTGGAGACCATACTGTGGGAAGAGAGCTCACTGGGGCTTGATGGGGAAGCAGGACTTGCATTTTCTGTGCTGTAGGTAGAAAAATTTGGTGTGGACACATCTGAGCTTGTTGTACAGAAAGTGGGTCCCTGATAAAAATATGTGGTTGAGTGTCCGATTGACACAGTTGTTTGTTTATTACCACTAGAAATGATAAAGGATTCAACAGGACTTAATGTGGACCCAGGACTTCCATCATCCTTGGCAGAGGTGGTTGTTGATGTGTCTGTGGGTTTAGAGAAATCAGAGGTGATTGTGTGGTCTGTGGAATTCTGGGTGGCAGTTGGTTCTGAGACAGCTGGGCTTGTGGGTGACTCTTCAAGGTTTGATGTGGCTGAAGAACTACCAATGCCTTTTGTATGAGAAACATCAGAAGGCACTGAAATCCCAATATCACAGAAGACACTGTGGCTTCACATACATCAGAAACAGGGGCGAAGTCAGTTGGCTCCTCTGAAAGTTGTATCCATTTCTTCAGAGACCATAGTGGGGATAGAGAGCTCACTGGGGCCTGATGGGGAAGCGGGACTTGCATTGTCTGTGCTGAAGAAAGAGTAGGTAGAAAATGTTGGTATGGACTCTTTTGAGGTAGTTGTGAAGTTCAACCCTGGAGAAAAAAATGTTACTGCACGAGAATTGATAGAGTACACCTGGGCTTGATGTAATGGCAATGGTGTAGTCCAGGATAGCAGTATGTTTTGATGAATCAGGGATGCCTATAAAGACTGGATCTGTCGATGAGAATTCTGATTTTTCATGCTGAGACAACACCAATGATAAATACATGACCAGGGCTTGAAGGGAATGTAGCATTTCCATCATCTGTGGTATACAAGATTCCAAAGGAAAAGGTAGACTTGAAAAAATCCAACATAGTTGTGAAAACAGAGGGTAATCCAGTGTGAGTTGTAACACTGCGTCTAGCGGTCAGGGTATTGGGAATACGTTGGACTTGAGGAAGAATAATTGTATTGTAGGAAAAGACTGTGGATTCCACAGTAGTAGATGTGGCTGATGGTCATTCACGACCAGAAGAGGTCAATAATTCACTGGAGGCTTCCAGTCAAGATGGAGGCATAGGGAGACATGCTTTGCTTCCTTGCACAACCATAGAAAGAGTTACAACCAGATATCAAAACTAATAACATCCAGAACCATCAGAAAACCAAGCTGCATGGAAGTCCAACAACCAAGAATTTAAAGAAGACACATTCATCCGGATGGGTAGGAAAGGAGGAGTCATGGAGATGGGTGGAGAGGCGGTAGCACAGAAAGGCTGTGGTGAAAGCAGCAGAATGGGTGAGAGGGATATAGTCAGACTGAATGATCCCAGCCCCAGGCCAGACAGCACAGCCCAAGATTCCAGCACCAGGAAGATAGATCCCCATTACCTCTGGCTGTGAAAACCAGTGGGGGCTGGGGCAGTGGAAGAAACTGCCAGACCTTCTCCACATAAAGGGCCCACACAGCCTTAGAACATACACAAGCCCACTCACTCGGGGATTCACCACTGGGGAAGCAGCTGGAAGGGTGCCAGTTGCATACAAGAAAGGGGTGAAGTGACTGGAAATGAGGTGAGTGCTGGGTGAACCACCAGAGTCAGGTGGCAGCATTGTCCCCTCTCCAAACCCTCCCCACACAACCACAAGGCAGTGAAGCGAGTGCACTGGCAATTACCTAAGGCTGCTGCACACAATTCACAGGTGCCTTTTCAACATAGGCTACACTGCTAAGACAGGGAGAAAAGCACTGTACACTGAATACACTGAAAAAAACACCAGAGGCTGCTAAATTGAGGAGACAACGAAATATAGCCCAAATGAAAGAACGGAACAAGACCCCAGAAAAAAGACTAAGCGAAAAGGAAATAGTCAACCTATCAGATGCAGAGTTCGAAACACTGATCATTAGGATGTTCAGAGAACTCGAGTACAGCAAAGAATTAAATGAAGGGAGAAATAGAGAGCGGGACGTACGGCTTGCGAGTGGCAACCTCAGTCTTTCGCGCGACGGAAGAGTGATTTTAAAATGGGTGACGTTGAGAAGGGCAAGAAGATTTTTGTTCAGAAGTGTGCGCAGTGCCATACCGTCGAAAAGGGAGGCGAGCACAAGACTGGGCCAAGTCTCCATGGTCTGTTTGGGCGAAAGACAGGTCAGGCACCGGGATTTTCTTACACAGACGCCAACAAGAACAAAGGGATCACCTGGGGAGAGGCTGCACTGATGGAGTGTTGGGAGAAGCCCAAGAAGTGCATCCCTGGAACAAAAATGATCTTTGCTGGCATTAAGAAGAGTTCAGAAAGGGCAGATTTGATAGCTTATCTCATAAAAGCTACTAATGAGTAATAGTTGGCCACTGCCTTATTTATTACAAATGTCTCAGGACTTTTTTATGTATACCATATTTAAATTGATCTCAAACACCAGAATTTAGATCATGAAAGGCTGACAGAATGTTACTTTTGGGCAATTCTGATTTAAATAAAATACTGGCTGGTGGTTAAATGAATATGATCGGCTTTTTGAACTTCGATGGTAATTTTGGTTCAGCAACTGCTATCACTATTTTCCCCTTCTAAAAATATGATTGGACTTGGTTTGTAACACTGAACTTTTCACAGAGCTGGTGAATGCCGTCTCAAAACCTGTAGGAGGCTGGTTTTATATTTAGATTTATGTGACTGGTTATATAAACATGTTTAAATACTGAGAAAATCCCTTTACTGTTTATTAGGAAAGCAAGACTCGCTTCTGTTTTAACTTGTGTTCATTAGCCTGTTAAAAGGCAAGAGCTGAAGATAAGCTGGCAGTGTCCATTTTATCTTTTTGGTCCTAACTATGCCAATTTAATTAAAATGTCCTGTATCTAAACTATTGCCTTTAACTTAATAAAAGGCATTTTAGTGTAGTTTGTGTATAATATCAAATACAGAATATTTAACACTTCTCACACTTTATAGATCTGTAAGGTCAAATGCTTTGACAAGATAAAGTAGCAGACTTTGTGAATTCTTGAAGTCAGGCTAAGTTATAATTCAGGATTGTCTTGAACAGCTATTCAGAAACAACTGTAGAATTAATATATGCGTGTGATAGGTAATGGTGCTCTTGCCAACTCACTAGAAGGGTTAAAGGAGAGGAAAATAGATGAACACAAAATTGTTAATTATGTGATCATAAGGCTTAGGATAATTAAAAACAAAATCACAGATCAAAAAAATAAAATAAAATAAAGGGAGAAATGAAGGGTACACTAAGTGAAATAAAGAGTAATCCACAGGAAACCAACAGAGAAGGGAAGGAAGCAGGGATTCAAACCAACGATTTAGAACAGAAGGAAGAGATAAACATTCAACCAGAACAGAAAGAAGAAACAAGATTTAAAAAATAAAACGAGGAGAGGCTTAGGAACCTCTGGGACATCTCCAAATGTGCCAACATCTGAATCATAGGGAAACATGCCAGAAGAAGAAGAGGAAGAGCAAGAAATTGAAAACTTAATTGAAAAAATGATGAAAGGAAACTTCCTTAATTTGGAGAAGGAAATAGACATACAAGTCCAGGATGCACAGAGTCCCAAAAAAGGTGGACCCAAAGAGGACCACACCAAGACACATCATAATTAAAATGCCAAAGGTTGAAGATAAAAAGAAAATCATAAAAGCAGCAAGAGAAAAGAGGAGAGTTCCCTACAAAGGAGTTCCCATAAGACTATCAGCGGATTTCTCAAAAGAAACTTTGCAGGCAAGAAGGGACTGGCAAAAAGTATTCAAAGTGATGAAAAACAAGGACCTACAACCTAGATTACTCTATCCAGCAAAACTATCATTTAGAACGGAAGGGCAGATAAAGTGCTTCCCAGACAAGCTAAAGCTAAAGGGCCTCATCACCACCAAGCCATTATTATAGGAAATATTAAAGGGACTTATTTAAGAAAAAGAAGAAAATCAAAACCATGAACTTAAAAAAGGCAACAAATTTATAACTATCAACAGCTGAATTTAAAAAATGAACAAACTAACTAAGCAAACAACCAGAAAATGAACAAAAATCATAGCCATTGAGATCATTTGGAGGGTTATCAGCTGGGAGGGGGAAGGGGGAAAGTGGAGGAAAAGGTGGAGGGATTAAGAAGCATAAATGGTAGGTACAAAATAGGGGGATTTAAGAATAGTATAGGAAATGGAGAAGCCAAAGAACTCACACACACAACCCATGAATATGAACTAAAGCGGGGATTCCTGGGGGGGGATGGGGGTACTGGGCAGAGGGGAGCAAAGGGGGAAAATTGGGACAACTGTAATAGCATAATCAATAAAATTTATTTAAAAAAAGAATTCTCCAGAACTTGATGTGGACACATTCTCAGTAAGTGTGGTTGAAGGTGACTCTGGATTAAGAAGAATCAGAGGTGATAGTGTGGTCTGCAAATTTGTCATTGAGTTTAGTGACAGTCTGTCCCAGCCTGGCTGAGAGAGAGCTGCAGCTCATGATACTGAAACAGGGCTTTACTTTTCAGGGGTATATAGGGAGTATCAGGGGAACCTATAGATTTGGACAGTTTTTGGACAGTTTTATCTAGACCTGTGTCTCTTCTGTATAATATTATTGTTCATTTAGAAGACAAGATGTCACCAGATAATTTGGGGGAGGGTTTGACTGCGATTGATGAGTTGAATTGCTGGTAGTATGGCTATGAATTTTGACAAATCTGTATGGTTATGTAGAAATAAGTATATATTTCTGCTTGCACATCCCTTCCAGAGCACACTGGGACATGTTCATTAACTTGGGTGCCCTAACATAAATCTGAGCAGACAGTTGTAGTCACTATTGGTCCCAGTCAGGGCATGAAAGTGGGCATGCAGAGGACAGGCAACTGATTGATGTTTCTCTCTCATATTGATCTTTCTCTCCCTCTCTTCCTCCCTCCTTTCCCCTCTCTAAAAATTAATAAATAAAAAATAAATACACACACACACACACACACACACACACACATATATATAATATATAAAATAGCCAGGGTAGTGTAGCTTCCCAATTTGCTGTACCCCAGAGAATTTTTAAATCAATATTCTAATTCTCTCTATAACTATGTATGGCTTTGCTGGCTCTGAATTTGTCTAAGACCGTTGAATAACTATGAATACTTTCTCCCTGTACTACTCAACAGCCACCAAACTCTAAAACTACCTCTCCCTGCAACCTCCCCAATCAGCCCAGGCAGGAGCAGCCCTGGAGGCCCGTCTCCACACCCTCCAGCATCCTGGGCCCCTTTCGGAGCCTCAGCACCAGGCTTGAGTTGTGCTTCTTTCCGTACTGTTCCCATGGTTCCACCTAAAAAACTCAATGATACGCTGTTTCATTCATCCTACCTTGTCCAGAGCACCCACAACCTGGCCTAGGAATGTTTGCTGAATGAATAAGGTTATTATTCTCAGTATAAAATAGCACTTGCTTTTAACTGCTTTAAATTTACATCACACAAGTTTCACAGTGGCCCCCTTGTCTACTGTGAACAAATCTGTTCTCACCGTTACCACATTCTTCCTGATTTTGTACTTGTTCGTCATTTCCGCTTCCACCGTCACCTTTCTAGGCTGCAGAGCTCTGACCCCTTTCAGCGCCTGCCCCAGCCCCTCCAGGACAGTCCCTGTCCCCCACTGCCAGCCATCCTGAGGAGCTTCCCTCTCCAACCTGACTAAGAGCACTTTGGAACTTTATGTACACAAAACAGGATACAGGTTCCAAGTCCCACGTTGGCCTGGCATTGTCCGGGCTTTGTGGCCCTGCAGTTTATGGGAAATGCAGAATTCTATTCCTGTGCTCCCTGCTGAGCCCCTGGCCTCCAGAACAGCTCCCCCCAGAAACTCCATGGTCACCCCAAACTCAATAGGCCCACGTGAAAGCCGTAGTCCACCACCAAAAAGAGGCCCCTGCATTCTCAGTCACAGAAGATCTAGGACTACCCCAGTGTCCTCACAGCCCAACATCAAATGGAATCTTCCTGTCCGTTTCCCTGGGAGCTGAATCCCCGGCGGACCCTCATGGCCTCGTGCGAGGATGGCTCTCAGTGCTTCTCTTCAAATCCGCCCTGGTGTGGGGCAACCCACCTAACATGGTTCTCAGGTGTCTAAAAACCCCTGCTCGGCTTTAACGCTCCTGTCACCCAAAGATGCTCTCTCACCACTGAACTTACTCCCTCAAAACTCCTACCCACGGAGTACACGTCCCGTCGTCTTCCAGGCAGGGAATCCCGCGCCTCGGCTCCCCTGCATAGCCATGCATGTGTTTTTCTTACCTTCTCACGCTGGCATTCTTTCTCCTTACTGTTTACTTGTCTAAAACCTCATCATTTCTTATGGTGAACTGAAGTACCCAGAGGAGGGTGCAGATTAGAAACAAAGAAAACTGCAGATGCCACTGGTAGTCTCTGACCCAACGTCTGAACTCCTCCCTGGACACGCAGAATACATTCAGGCAGTGGGGCTGTTGCAGAGGGCTGGGGTCCTCCGCGTGGGACCGGGCAGCACAAACCTAGTGTTAAAGGGGTAACTGCATGTTAATTATTTGCTGTGTGGCCCCGGGTAGGTCACGCGTGCTCCCTGAGCCTCAGTCTCCTGTCTGCCTTCATTTCCTTCCACAGTCTTCCTTGTGAGAGTCATATGTGCTTTGAAACGGCTTTGTAAATAGCAGAGCTTTCTGCGAGTCGGGGCAGGCGGCCTCCAGGAATCATTAGACTTTCTGGAGTCCCCTTGGAATTTGTCCTACCTCCCCACCCCTGACAGCTCTCTGCACTTATCATAGATGTTTTTCTTGACGCTTGCATGCTAATGGGTTCACCTGTGTCAATGCCTTAGGAAGAGGAGCCTTTACTTCTGAGGGTGGCTGGCTCTTAACTCATGGCTGGACACACAGAGACTATGCGCTTGCTGACTATTGGGCCCTTCACCCTCGTCACCACCACCACCACCATCCCTCTTCTCAGATAGGTTGGCCAGAGAGACGCCCAGAGTTTGCCCAAGGAGTGGGGACAGGTAGGGCCCCTTCTAAGGTTGACGCCCCCACTCCTGCCCTACCACCACTTCCTATATTAACCTTAAAGTTAATATAGCTGTAATTAATGTATTTTTATAACGTCCCTAAATCCACACACTTTATACCAACATCCCTTGCTCTTTTCCCCTTAGCTGCTCCTGGCCTGCGCCACTCCTGCCCAGCAAGTCTGGGTAAGGGAAAGGAGGTATGTCAGCGCCTGGCACGCTGACGAGGTGGACCCTAAGGGCCGATGTTCCCTCTGCAGAGACCCCGCCCACTCACCATCCCTCCCCGCACACCCTTCAGGTCTTTCAACTCAAGCGCTGCCTCTTCTCCCTGGGGCCCTGGGCTTGGTCCCCCATTGCCCCTGGCCCCGGTGTCTGCCCTGCCCACCCCTTCCGCAGAGCTCTTCCCTGTCTCTGGGGCTATCAAGAGAGTGTCTTCTGTGTGAGAGAACCCGCTGGAAATCAGCTCGTAATCAGTCACTTCCCAGACAAATGGCCCTGACAAGGTTCAACAAGGACCCCAGAGCCTGTCTCCCCTTCAGCCTTTCAGCCATTTCTAATTAGAGGGGGCTTTTCCCAGGGGTCCCTGAGGCTCTCCCCAGGCAAGCAGGGGAGCTACCACATGCCTGCGGACTCCTTCCCTCCCCAGCCAGGGCTGGCAGCCTGGACAGTGAGTGCCTCTGTGCGGTCAGAAGGACCTGGCCCGCTGGCAGAAGCAGCCCCCAAGATAAGGCAGGCAGAGACCACTGTCTAAGTCAAGACAAAGTCCCTGTTCTCCCAGGGGAAGCCTGGAGAGCAGAGGGGGTAGATTTCAGCCCCCACTCAGCCCCTCTGCCAGGGGTTTGGTGCTGGCCATCACCTCTACAACCACAGGCCACACCTCTTCCCCTGCACCCACAGGGCTCCAGGGTGATCGCTTTAACGCTCTCGAAGGCAGGAGGAGGTCGTGGCTGGTATCCAGCCCTTTGGGAGCCCCATACTTTGCAAAGGGAGGGAGGTGAGAAGTAGGAAGGCCAGCCACCTGCTGCAGCCCTGCCCGAGGCCAGCACGTGCCAGGACCACCAGGGAGCACTGGGCCAGGCTGGGTCTCACTCACCAGGTGACATGGCAGTGTGAGTGCTCAGAGCCAGAGAGCCAGTGGCAAGACACAAAATCACCGGCGTCTCCCAGAGAGCAGGGCCCTGGCTGCAGGCTCTTCGCCTGTCAGGAGGGACCAAGAAGTGTGCACCTCCCAGGGAAGGGACACCTATAAAAAGGACCCTGGGGACCTTTGTCCTGGGGAAAGACAATGCCTGGCCCAGGGTGGGGGTGCAGTACTGGGGCTGGGTGGGTGGTGCCTAGTGACCACAAGGAGTTGGACAAAGAGCAGCCTGTTAATCATCTCCAGCTCTAACTCCTAGAGAGCTGACCACCCACAGCCAGGGTCTTGCCAGGAAGCCAGAGACATAGGTGGGGCAGGGCCAGAGGGAGGGACGGGAAGCCAGAGCTGTGGGTGTATGATGATTGCCAACAGGCAGGAGCCAAGAAATGCCAGGGAGAGGTGACTATGGAGGGAGGGGGAGACAAACCCTGGAAGGAGCAGCCAGCAGCAGGCCAGGCTGAGTGAAGGACCCTCCACCCCAACCCCCGAGAGTCCCCTGTTTCCTCCAGCCTTCCTTCCCCATCCTCCACCTCAAGCCGGTCGCTTCCAAAGTAGTGCAAACCTTCCCCCAGAGCCTCCCAACCACCAGCCTGGCCCCTGGGTGCTTCTCCATTAACACCATTAACACTTATGGCTTTACGGTCCTGATCGTCACCGCTGGTCACTGCCAGTCCCTTGACTGTCCTGGGAAAAGGTCCCAGGAACCTTTTCCAAACCCTCACCCAAAGAACCTCACACTGTCAGCTCTGATCACCCTCAGTTCCAGTTCAGCAGGCCTGGCCACCCACAGCAGGGGGAACAGAAGGGCCCAAGCCCCAGGCATGGCAGGCCCTGGTGTGAGTGTGTCTGCCACCCAGGGTTAGGGAGTCTCAAGTTTCAAGATCTTTTGGGAGGCCCAGCTTACCCCTTGGTACAAACCGCAGCTCCCCCAGTCAGGGCTACCCACCTCCCCGACTCAGCCCTAAGCTCCTAATGTCAAGAAGGGCAGAGTACAGATAGCAAGCCCAACCGGCCCCCACGTACTGCTGATGGAGGGGTTTCCCAGTCCTTAAGACAATGGGCCCCCCAATCTCTATGTTCCCTATGAGGGGCCCCTTCCTTCCTCACTGGGAGAAACCAGCTTTCCCAGGCTCTCCTACAACATCTCCAGATGTCCCTGTTCCCCAACCAAGTGGAGGCCCCAGGGAGTGAGAAGGAGAAAGACACAGCAGCATATTTTACAATAAATGTTATATTGTGTTCCGTGGGAGAATTGGAGACTTGCAGACTTCCTGCCCCGAAAGAGACCTTCCTGCTCAGGAGGCTGGGACCTTCTGGCCTCAGAGGTTACTGCAGAGACAGGGGTGGGAGCAGAAAGAGGGTAAGAAGGAGGAGCTGGGATGGGGGTTGAAGGGGGGTGAAGCAGTAAAGGAGGGGAGGGAAAATGAGGGAAATGAGGAAGAGGGGGTTGAGGGAGCTTCCCTTAAGGGTCCCACTTCCCCTCACATTTGAGGGCTTGGGAAAACCCATGTCCCAATCCCCCACCCATGGGAATCCAGATCCTTAGCGGGGAGAGGAAGGGATGGAGCCCCAGCATAGGGGACCAGAGCCTGGGGAATACAAGCGCAGGGTGTAAGATGGTGAGCACACCTGTACCATCGAAGGACAGGGGTGTGGGGGAGGAAGGAAGATATCAGACTGGGCACCGGGTGGAGAGTAAGGGCTTAGGGCCGAAGGTACAAGCGTGGGGAAGGGGAGAGTATGGACACTGGAGGAGACTAAGGCTGGGGGCTGGGATGTGGGGAAGGAGTGATGTAAGAAGTGGGTTTAGAGGGGGAAATGATTTAAGAATGGGAGCAAGGCATAGGGCAGGGAGCTATATAAGGAGGGAAGGAGGCTGGGATGGGCTTCAGGCTGGCTACAGGGCTAGGGTGAGGAACAGGCAGTAGGAATGCTCACAGGAGAACGGAGCCAAGGGCCTGAGACCCAGCCAAGGATGTGGGGACTTAGGATCTGAGGGAAGCCATCTAAGCATGGGGGGTGACACAGGAAGGTGCACCGGGACCGAGAAGGGACTGAGCACTTCTCGTTTTCATAAGAACTGTACAAGGTATTAGAACAAGTATGCTATACTAATTTTACAGGTTCAGAGAAGTTACTGACTTGCCCAAGGTCCGACAGTGGAGCCGGGTCTGAACTCAGTCTCCAGGTAAGTTTCACCCAAGGTGGAGAAAGACAGGTGTCAGAGGATGTTCTGGTTTTGCCCAAGGAAACCAGGACACTGAGCTGCATGAGACCCGGACCATCTCTTGAAATGGATGCAGTGTAGGTGGTTCTTTCCTGCTCTCTGGGGCAGTGTAGAGGGACAGCGCAGGGCTCACAGCGAGGACAAGTCCACCTCAGGTCTCTGGGTGTGTACCTGCCACAGAGAGTGTGAGGGAGGGAGGGAGAACAGGGAGCCGCCCTGCCCAGGCTGGCTGGGAGGTCTCTGCCTCCCGGTCCTCGCTCAGCCCCGTGGCCGGCAGTCTGTGGAGCTGGGCCCGGGAGAGCTCCTTACCACCCATCCTCCCTTTGCCCTCTCACCCTCATATTGGTGTCCACATTCTCCAAGGCCACATGGACGTTTTCTTCCTTGACTAGAGAGAGAGAAAGAGGAAGGGGAAAACAGGGAGGCAAGGAAACATGAGTCAAGCAGGGCCCAGGCAGCTCCTGTGCCCCTACTCCTGCCCTGCTGGGGTGGCCTGTGTAGGACACTGGATCTTCCACAGGAAGGGCGGAGCAAACAGAGAGCTAAGCTCCCTGGCGGGAGGTGTATGTCTGTCCTGAGCAAGGGAGATATTCGAGTCCTGTCCAGGAGGCAGTGGTGCCCAGGGAAGGCCCTGTTCCTTCCCTCAAGGGGCAGGACTCACCTGTTGTGTCGTCCTGGAAGCCCAAGTTTGTAAAAGTCCCCACGGAGTCCTCATCCCATATCTGGAACCATTTCCTGTCGTCATCGTCCCAGCACCTGATCAGGGCGCATGCGGTCAGAGCAGGGCTGCCCTGCCTGAGACCCCTTTGCCACCCTCACCCCCACCCCCACCCCCACCCCCACCCCGAGAACGCTCACCAGGCTCCACCTTGGCCGCGCCTCCTCCGGGGCCCACCACGAAGACGCCGAATGCCACCAACAGCAGCAGCAGCAGGGCCGCGGCCCCCGCGAGGCCCCCAACCAGCGCCTTCCAGGCGACGGACACCTCGCAGCGCGAGCCCAGGAACCAGTGCGTGTTCGTGGAGAAGCAGCTGGAGGAGGCGTTCACAGGTCACAGACCTTCACCACCTCCCCGGCAGGGTCACTCAGCACCTTTACCCTGCGGAAGCTAGCAGGTGGGCGGGGCTCCACCCTAAGGCGAAAGGATGTGGCTTAGAGGGGCTGGGGGGCCTGGCTGGGCGGGGCCGACTGGTAGACCCAGCGGGCTGTGGGCGGGACTCCCGCGTTTGGGCGGGCCTCACCGGCAAGCCGGACCGCTCTTCTCTAGAAGGCACTGGCCCTGGCTGCAGTAGATTGCGCCATCCACGCCCGGCGTGCTCTTGGTGACGCAGCGGAGCCGGTTCTCCTCCACCAAAGGAAAGTAGAAACCCTCATGACCCTGGGCAGCGGCGCGGCCACAGATGGCTGGGAGGGTAGGGGGGCGGAGACAGGCAAGGACCTCCTCCACAACGCAGGGGCCTTGTTACCGTCATTCTGAAAATGGATGCCAGGACTCCATTTCCAAGAGTGGGGTGCCAGGGGGTAGACCTTGGGATCAGATGAGGGAGGAGCAGGCCAGGCCCCTAACACCTTCACCTTCTCACCTTCCTTGCTGCCCAGGAAGGGCGGTACTGCAGGGTTACCTCACATGCCTCCCCAAAAGTTCTCTCCATGCTCCCCAGGGAATTTCACTGGGCAGATGTCCCTGGTGAGAGGAGTCATGGTACCCCGGGGCCACTTAGCCCTTTGCCCTTCCCTTCCCTTCCGGGGTCAGCTCCGTCCTGGTGTCGTTGTTCACCTTTATGGAGTCAGGCTTAAAACACAGGGCTGGGGGGGACACAGGCACAGGTTGAATTGAGGGGAAGGGTCAAGGGTTGTGGGCCAGCAAAGCAGCGCCAGCACAGTGAAGGGCAGCAAGGGCTCTGCCGGCAAGGAACATGTGTGCATGGGCTGCCAGGGGAGGCTCCTTTGGCCTCCCTCATCATCCATGATTGGTCAGGGGTCTTCAGCTGTCCTGGAAACCTTGAGAACTGTCAAGGGGTCTCTTCCCCAGCACCCAGGTTCTGTCAGGTTCCTCCTTAGCCCCATTCTTGACCCAGTTGGCTGTGGACCTGTGTTGCTTCTTAAAACCTGCTGGAGGTATCACAAGGTTGGCACATGAACCCAGGAGACCCCTGTGTGAACTGGAGCATGCTGACGTGGTGACTGGGACGCTGACTCTTCCCTCCAGCCCAAGGCCCACAGCCTCAACTCGCTCTGGTTGTTCAGGCAGCTGGCCCGGTCCTTGCTGCCATTCCGGAGCTCCTCCTTCAGGGCCGTCTTCACCTTCTCATACTCATTCTCCAGCTGGACACTGAAGGGCAACTCCAACAGGACCAGATAGTCTACCACAATGCTTCCACTTCTGAGGGGGTCAAGGGGATCAGGGGACCTTAAAAGGTGCCCAGGCCTGGGGCGCAGATCCTTAGGTGGACACCTCCAGGACCAACCACAGGTACACAGGTGTTGGGAAGAAGCGGGGGGCAGAGGCAACGAGTTGGGATTTCAGACATTATGTTCAGAAGGAGTTGCCAGCATCCCTGAAGTGGTCAGTCTGGAAAGGCAGGACAAGGAATGATTGCCATTCTCTCGCATTGCCACAAGCCATTACCAAACCAGGCCATCCTGGACTTTCTCCCTCGCTTATGTTGACCCACCCAGCAGGCCAGATGCCAGCCAGAAGGAGACCTGCTACAGTCCATACACCAGCCTTCCCACCAGCCCACATGCACCACCTCACTGCATGTCCCATGCAATCCCTCTACTTATCATGCATTTAAAAAAAAGTAGCGGTGGTTTCCCTCTTACAGAGAAATTATCCCAGAAAATGATCTCTAAAGTCCCTCATGGCCCTGTTGGTTGGAGCATAGTCCCATACACCAAAATGTTGTGGGTTTGATCCCTGGTCAAGGCACCTACTGGAGGCAACTGATTAATGTTTCTCTCTCACATTGATGTTTTTCTATCTATTTATCTATCTCTCTGTCTCCCTCCCTCCACTCCTCTCTCTCTCAAATTAGTATATATATCTTTGCATAAGGATTTTTTAAAAAGTCCTCCATTGAGTGATTCCCTTGCATACTCTCTTCATCCTTCTCTTTATGAAATTTGATGATTTCCAAAACCAAGGGATGGCTTCCCGAGCATTTCTTTGCACCCAGTCCCCCCATCTACCACTATCTGTGCGACCCCAGAAGAGGCTTTTACCTCAGGGAGAGGATCTCCACACCCTTGAACCCCTGCATGTTTCAGTAAACATTCTTCCTCTGAAATGCCAAGGATCCTTGGGCTCATGTCTAAACCTCCAGAACTAAGGTCACCCAGGAGCCCAAGCTCAGTTCCAGGTTAGGACCCTTGAGTCCCCTCCTTTCCCCTCACCTGATTCTTGAAGGTGTTGCTGAAATCCATGTAGGCCTCAGAAGTGTTGTCATTGGGCCCCGGCGTGAATTCCTGTTGGACAGACACCTCCATGCCCGCTTCAGCGTCCACCGTTTCTGCACACTCTAATGCTCTGCTCTAATCGTGCCACCACCTACTCCTATCTGACATCACCATCACCACCCCACCCCAGAGGTCCCTGCCATGGCCCTTCTCCATGTTCTCTGAGGACTGACTGAATAGCAAGAGGGAGAGTGGTAGGAATTCTGGGAGGAGCTGTCTTGCGATGGGGGAAAGAATGAAGTCAGGATGCACAGAAGTCAGGTCTCTGGTCTCTCCCTTATCTGCCCCAGTGGGAGACAGAATAATGACTCCCAAAGATGCCTATGTCTTAATTCTCAGAATGTATGACTATGTTACGTTACATGGCAAGGAGAAATCAAAGTTATAGATGTAATTAATGTTACTAATCAGTTGACTTTAAATATGTAAAGATCAACATAAATTATTCAGGTGAGCCCAGTATAATCACAAGGGCCTTAATAGTGGAAGAGGGAGCAGGAAAAGTTAGAACTGGTCAGAGAAAGATGTGAGTATGAAGAAAAATCACAGATACAATGTTGCTGGCTTTGAATATGGAGAGAAGGGGGCCTTGAGACAAGCAATGTGGAAGCTCCAGAAGTAGAAAGGGTAAAGAAATAGAGTCTTTGAAAAGGAATGAAGCCCTGCCAAAACCTTACTTTTAGCCCAGCAAAGTCCACATTGGACTTTTAATCTACAGAACTGTAAGATAAGAAATTTGTGTTGTTTCAGCCACTAAGTTTGTGGTAGTTTCTTACAACAGCAATTAGAAACTAATATAGCTTTGAGCAGCCCAGACTGGGGTGGGCCCCAGAAGGACTGTGGTCTCAGCCACCTTCTGGAGGTGAGGGAAGAGAGGAGGCTTGAGATGGGATAAGAGAAGGTTTGGGAGAAAAGGCAGGGATGAAGGGATTGATGACTCCAGGCCAACCACAGGGCTGGGACCAGGGAGAGTCAGGCGCACCTCTCAGGAGAAAGTGCATAGGGCAGGACTCTTGGTGACTCACTCAGTTCCACCTGTTTCACGGCAAACTCACACCAGGAGCCAGAGAAGGTACTGTGGCAGTGGCACTTGAGGCCATCCCATTGACCTCCATTCTGGCCCCTCATCTCCTGCGGCTCACAGTGGTCCCCAGAGAACCCCGAGGAGCAAAAGCAACATCCCTGTATCCAGGTGCCACCGTTGTCACGGCTGCCTAGGTAGCATAGAAAGAAAGGGAAGTTCAGGGTAGAGCCAGACCTTGAAGACATGGGAACTCGGTAAGGGGGAAAGGAGGTCCAACCTAGGGTGGTGGTCAGTGTAGACTGTATGGGCATCTGAGTAGTGGTCAAAGTTGTCCGGGGTGATGTCAAAGTGGTGGGAGTCTGAGTGGTGGCCACCGATGTCTCTGGATTCCTGGAGGTGGTTGGGCTGGGGTGTGTCAACTTGCTTGACGTCCTCATGACAGTTGGAAAGCTGCTGCTTGGTTTCATGGTCAGTGGGAGGCTAGTGAAGCGGGGCACAGCTGAGGTGGTGACAGAGTAGGAGCTCATCCAAGTACCACTGGTGGGTGTGTGTGTGCTCATCAAAACTGTGCCAACAGGGACAGTCCCAGGGCTGATAGAATTAGGAGAATCAGTTATGATGTTGGTGGGGTCAGTTTCCAGATCTGAAGTAGAAGTGTCCATATGTGTAGGAAATACAGTTGTCATAGCTGTGGAACTAGGAGAGGTGGTGGCCACCTCAGTAGTAGAGGTAAAGACTGGTAATGGGATAGTGGATGCAAAAGTAACTTTACTATTTGGATCAATTTCTATACTTGGAGTGGTGGAGAAGTAGGCACTATTGTAACAGATATATATTCTGGACATGGAATCGTGGGGTTAATCGAAATGGTTGGAGTTGTTTCAATAGAAGAGGCTATTGGAGAAGACAAGGTTGATGAAGTTTTTGTAGTTTCAGATGAAGTAGAAGTGACGGAGGAACCTCTGCTTATCATAGTGACTGAGGAATGGGGAGAAAATGTAGAGTCAGTGGCTGGCATTGAAGTAGCACTGGGAGAAGAGACAGAAGACAACATTGTTATTTCAGCTGTTAAAGAAGATATAATGGTAATAGAAGAAGTGATCATTGCATTTGTAGACGTACTTACTGCAGGAAGAGAGGCTGTGAAAGAAACACTTGAAAATGTACCTGAAGTTTCAGATGGCATAGACTCATCCTTAGTGCTCCTGACAGAGAATGGAGGGCTGTATGATGCTGTTCCTGTGCTGCGCGTGGCGGGGGATGACGCGATGGTGGGTGTCTGTGGGGGTGGCGGGCCTGGTGGACGAGACGCGTGCCGAGGTGAGTTTGGCCGTAGAGGTCGAGGACCCGGGGGTGCCTGCGGTTGGGAAGGTGACCCGCGTCGAGGTGGCGGCAGGCATTACAGTACTGACGGAAGGCGGGGGTGTGGCTGTGGGTATGTGCACGGTGCCCGAGGTGGGGGCAGATGGGGCGACTGTGGGTGTGGGTGTGCCTCCTGTGGAGGAGCCCAGCGAAGTACTGATACCTGGAGTGGCCTGAGTCGCAGTCAGGGTGGGCATTGTTTCGCCAAGGGCAGTAGCAGCCATGGATGTTGCCACAGTGGAGGGAGGGAGTGAGGTTGCTGTGGTGGAGGTGGCAGGGGCCCAAGTGTCAGCAGAAGTGGTGGTTCCAGTCGTGGCCGTGGTGACAGTAGGAGCGGGAGGTGTGGGGTTGGACGTGGCCTTGGCAGTAGAGTGTGCAGTGATCAAGGTGGACACAGGGCTAGTGTTTGAGGGGACGGTGGGCCCTGACTGCGTGGCTGAGGCCTGCGTAGAGGACGGGGGTGCGCTGGTGGTGGACGTCGAGGTACCGGTGGTCACTGGAGCAGAGCTGGTGGGTGTCAGAGAACTGACTGTTTAGCGGGAGTGACCGAGGACGTCACCGTGGGAGCAGAGGTTATCTGTGTCGCAGCAGACTCGGTAGAATCATCCCTGGTAGGGGTAAGTGTGGTTTTCGGGGTAAATGTGTAAGAGGTTGTGTCGGTCGTCTCACCTGTAGATGTAGTGTCAGCGGTTTCTGTTTCTGGTTCTGTTTCCCTGGAGGGTAGTGAGAGGGTGAAGCGTGGGCCTCTGGGTCTGGAAGGACTACGATTGGAGGTCAGGAGCAGACACTGAGAGGCAGAGGGAAGGTAATTGCAGAGAAATTGCTGGTTCCTGAGAGGTGGGAGAGAAAAGACCCAGGGCCCAACACCAGCTGGTCTCAGAGCCACTCTTTGAGAACAATTCACACTTAGAGATCCCCCACCCCAGCCCTGCCAATGACACCTGTGCCCAGAAACATGGGCCCAGTGGGGCTGGAAGAGTTAGAGGCAGAACTGGAGGAGGGGGCACCAGAGACCAAGGAGACACCCCAAGGAGATGAAGTGCCCCAGGGGCAAGAGGGAGGGACTCACAGGAGAGTGGCAGAGATGGAAGTAAAAGGAAGGACAGAGTCCAAGGTACAGTGTTTGACAGAAGAGAAAGGGATCTCCGAAACCTGAGTCAAAGTGGGAGAGAGCAATGTTCCGGAAAGAGGTTATTTCTGCCCTTCCTGTTCAGGCGCAGGGCCCTATAGCCTGCTGGCGGAGAGCAGTGCCAGCTGGACCCAACTTCCCTCTCCTCCCCTGGCCTCAGTTCACCCTGCAGGATAGCTCTAAGAAACCCTTCCCCAACCTCCCTTGTGGCCTCAGAGCCAACACCCCTTCCAAAATCCCTGCCCTGGACATCAGGAGGGTCTCCCCAATCCTCCCCCCACTGACCTCACCCCCTCACCTGTGGCCTCCAGGGACGCCCTGAGCATCATTATGAGGCTGAGGAGCCCAAGTAGCTGCATGAGCTCATTGTGGTACGGGCTGGGGGCAGAGCAGGCACCAGCTCAGGGGACAGCAAGCAGGGAGGCAGCCACAGTGTGCACAGCAGCACCCCGCTCCAACTGGAAGTTGTGGTTGCCTCCCCTGCTGAGAGTGGGGGTTGAGCATGTCTCTTCCTTTTCCTGGACACTACCCCACCTCACCCCACTTCCCTCTTCTCCCCATATCTGACTTTATTATTGTGGTAAGTGACTCAGAGAAGATAAGATGAGCCCAGGAGGTACTACCCTGGGAGAGCTGCTGACAAACCAACACACACCCTCTCCTATCCCTATCTCCACCTGGCTGGCCTACCCATAGCAGTTCCTAGAACACTGCCTTTCCCCTCCCTTTCCCCCCACCAAGAACTAGCAAAACCAGATGGAGAATACACTTGGCCAAAACTTTGCACTCTGGACTCTGGGGCCGGTTCTCACAGCCTCTCCTTAGTTTCTATTCCAGCTCCGGAGGAGAAAGGTGGAACGTCCCTCTCCTTCACTCCTGCTGCCACTCGTTCCTCCCTCTCTTCATCCTGCCCTTAGCAGGACCTTGGAACTCTGACCCCATGGCCGAAGCCATGGGAGCAATGCAGAATCCAATCAGAAGTCATTTTACTCTCTGAGGATTTGGGCTGGCTCCCAGAAAAGGAAATGCAGATGGCCAGTGGAAACAAAATGACTAGTTTCGACTCAGCCAATTAACATCTATCAGAAAGTTTGATTCCAATCTGTTGGGGAAAGTGTGAAGAATAAACACTCTTACCCAGTTGGTGGGAATGTAAGTGGGCTGGGCTGCTTTAAAAATGCAATTTGGTGGCATCTCGTAAGATTTCAATGCACACTCAAGGACCCAGTAATTTCCCCATTTCATCTCTGTGTTCAAGAAACACTTCAAGGAGGCATTCATGAGATGTTTGTTGCCATCCAGTTTATTGCAATTCTGATATAAATTAGAAACAACCCTCAGCAGGGAAACTAGAATGACTATGGAAAGTCACATTATGCTTGAATCAAAAAGAACGATACCATCATGGAAAGACCCTCGGATGTCTTGTTCAGTGAAACCAGTAGACACACTTTTGTTAAAATATACATATATGTTTCCTATAAATATATATTTACACACACGTGTGTGTAAGTGTTAAGTGCATTCAGAATTTGTCAAGAGGCTCACCTACCGCAATAACAGGGGCAAGCTGAGCTCGGAGAAGCATGAAAGAACGAAGGTTAGGAATGATAGAGAACTTAGGCTCTACCTGTAGTTTTTACTTTAACAAAGGTTAGCTCCTTGAACAAACTCTAGCCAGGATCCTCTGAGCCCTCTTCTCAACTCAGCCTCAAACCTGGCTTATAAAAACTTGAGCAAACACTAACTTAGTTTCTACTCGTTCAAGGCCACATGCCTAGGATGATGCTAGCCCTCCTTAAAGTGCCTGCCTCCGAAAGCTCAAGGCTGCCACAATAACTGACTGTTCCAGACAACACCTGGCGATGGTGCCCCTGTCCCAGCCCATGGAGAGAGTAGGAGCCAGACTTTAGTAAACCACTTAGCAAACCTAGATGAGTTTCACATGGACCAGCCGCCCTTCCCTTTTTTGTAGTTTTTCACTTTCCCAACTCTACTGAGCCCTTGCTTAGCTACCTCCCTATTCCCTCACTCTACCTTTAAAATGCCTCCTTACCTCGGCAAATCAAAGTGGAGTTCAGTTCATGCTGGACTCTTTTCCCTATTGCAATAGTATATTACTGATTAAAAATCTGTCCTTACCACTTTATCTAGTGTCTGGCTTTGTCAACTACTTGGAGACTATATTATGTGTTGAAAGGTAATTAAAAAATAATGAGAGGAGGATTGTAGGAATTTGGTGGGGTACAACACACAAAGAATTCATCTCCGCATCTAGAGGACAATTCCATTTGCAGAATCTCTCTGATGTAACTGCTCTTGGAATTCTAGAGTCTGTTGAAGGCTTCCAACTTCCAGGGGAAGACCAAGAGAGTGAGTTGCAGTTAATGTTGGTGAATGTCAGCTTTAGCACAGCAGCAACTACCCATCCCACACTCTCAGCCACATGGTAGGCAGCTGTGCATGTGTTCCTGAAGCAGCTTGCCCGTGGCTTATGGGAGCTAGGGTAGGCAAAAAGGACCACGTATTCCTAATATCTTGGGTCTGTGCTCTAATCACTAATTGCTGCTTCTGATAACAAAGGTGCAAGAAAAAAGACAGCTAGCCACCATTATTGTACCTGTCCCAATTCTTGCAAGCCCCTCACCCTCCCCTAGAAGTCATTTAAAGGGCTCGTGTTCTTTCCTCTCCCTCCACCTTTTTCCCCCTCCCTTTCCCACCTTTTAAGAATCAGAAATTAAAGACCAGGGCATTCAAAAATAACTATTCATGGGAAAAATTAGAAAGTGACCATGCATACCCAGGGAAAGGATGAGAAAAAGCTTGGGAAGACTTTAGTTTGTACCTCATGCTGATCTTTGGAACAGAGACAGCCTACAATTGAGAGAGAGACAGACAGACAGACAGAGACAGAGAGAGAGAGAAAAGAAATGCAAAATAAACAATAAAAAAAACCACCCCAGCAAACCCTGGGGAAGGAAGAGAATCTGACTTTCAGAGTTACTACACTATTAAATTCAAATGTTCAGTGTTCAACAAAAAAAGCACATGGCATATAAAGAAACAGGAAAATCTGGTCCCTTCAAAGAAAAAATATAAACAGAAACTGTCCCTGAAGCAAGACAATGTAGAGAGAGAGTCAAGAAGGTGATGAATGAAATTAAATGAAAATATCAATAAACAGAAAGCATAAGAAACCAAAAAGAAATTCTGAATTTGAAAAGTACAATAATTGAAATAAAAAATTTACTAGAGGGATTCAAAGGCAGATTTGAGCAGGCAAAAGAAAAAAACCCTACAACTTGGAGACAGAACAATGGAAATCATTGAGTCTGAAAAACAGAAATTTAGAATAAAGAGTGAAGGGGAAAAAAGCCTAAGGGACCTGTGGGACATCAACAACCAACCAACATCACATTATGGGAGTTCCAAGAAAAGAGAGAGACAAAATATATGAAGGAATATTGACTGAAAACTTCCTA